CTGTTCTCTGAAGGCACATCTTTCTCTCCTCTTTTGCCTGCCCCACTCCCTTTTCAGCCAAATGTCCCAATTTCTATAGGTAATTTTCCCAACTCCCCCTGTAATTTGTAGCACAGTCTTTGCTCACTTTCATTGTCAGTAATTCACATGGTCCATCTTGTCATGTGCCTTTCCTTTCCCATGCTTCTCTTCCTCTTTTATTAATTCTTATTAGAAAATAGTTTTTCCAGACTTGTCATTCATGTAAAAATACATGTTCCCAGAAACTAAAATAAACTGCCATTTTTTACTCTAGAATTAAATTGTAAGTGTTCCTCAGTTACTCAATTTTTGGGTTGTTGTAGTCACTGATAGCCACAGTCAATTGTTCAACATAATAATTTGCCAAACAGCTCAACATGCCAGAAAAAGGGAATGGTTCTTTGTTGTGTCTGCACAGTCACCCTTTCACAAACTATACTGGGATCTAACAGAAGCTCTTTTTGTCCCAGTGGTGGGTAGCGTCACTCTTATTTTGGAAGTAAAGAGCTTTAGGGTGTTGATTTTATGTTTTATTTTCAGACACTGAAAAAATGAAGGTATTTTCATCTCAGATATATAAGATGTGGGCCTCTTTTTAAAGTAATCATGCCACTAAAACAAGACTGAAAAGGTCTAATGAGATTTGCAAAATTAGATTAGGAATCACCAGTTAGCTAAACCTTTTGCTATAGTAGAGTAGCCAGCAAGGTCTTTTGGGGAAAGTAGAACATCTGCTTTATTTTGTTTTGTTTTTGTTGTTTTGCATTCATATTTTTGGACATGACCACCTTTTTATATTGTATGATGTTTGCAGACGTTTCATACTGAATATGTGGGACTTTTTATGCCAAAATGAGATGTTTTAACTTTCCAGGAATAGACAAAGTGCTTTGATCCCATTGGACAGTGTGCCATCTCAGTGGTTAGGAGTACATTCATTTTTTTGTTATTTCAGACTGCTGTTTTTAGTGTGGCCTGGAGTGGACAGTCAAGTTTTTCTCCATAAATATCAAAATCTTCATAGCGTCTTTGATCTTACTTCAGTGAGTTTTAGCATTGAATGTTCCCCCTTTGATTCAAAGATATTTTTGTGCTCTACCCTTTTTTTAATTAATTTTTTTTGTACTTTGTGTACTCAAGTTTCATTTGATAGTGGTGGTGTTACTCTAGCTAATAATATCTATGCAGGAAGCTCTTGGGCCCTAAGAAAAACCCCTAGGGTAAATACTGCACAGTTGAAACAGAAAAGTGAATCTTAAACTTATTTGCTTGGACGCTCATTTCTGAAACAAAATAAAGAAGCCTAAATCTCAGAGAGCTACTGTAGATCAGATTTGCAGCCGCTGTTATCAGTGATGTGGCACCAAATCCTGAGTCATCGTGTGAATGGAGGACTGGAACCTCACTGTGCTCTAAGTGCCCTAATTACATATCATACCAACATATGGTCACTAGGCAGTCCTGGCAGCAGACATATGGCCAGATCTAACCTCTGATTCCTAATTTGAAGCTTCCCAGAAGACAGTTGTATTGCTCACAGGTTGCTCTTTCATAGATTAGGGGACCAGAGGTCTTTAAATATCAACTTTGTGTCAGATGTTTCTCCTAAAATTGCTCATGTCATGAGAAATAAAAATAAACAAATTAGGTTAATTGTTAACATATAGTAAAATAGAGTTCTGAAATGAATGTGGATAGCAAAGTGCATATTTGAAAATGGATAAGAAATGTTTGGATTCATATTGAAATCTGACTTTTAATTCCAGACTTTGGTGTATTGGCAAATTTAAGACTTTGTTGACATGTCTTCTTTAATTTACATGTTTCTCAGAAGAAAATCTGAGAATCTCACGGCTGTCTAGGAGAAAAAAATGAATAGTCAGATTATATTTCTTTCAGATTTGATCTACATGCTCTTTAGCTGTTGACATAAAAATGCAGTATAGCTGATATTTCCTCAGAGGCTGGATGGTTTCATATTGACTCAGCATGGATGATGGTATTTTTGTAGACTTTACACTCATTTCTTCCTCAAAAACAATGGATGAGGTTTGTCGTGTGAAATGTTCGGAAGCAGTGAGCTCATCACAAAGAGCTGCCGTTTACGTCATTTCTTAAATCCTGCATGCTAACAAGTGTAGGAGGCACCCACTCCATCCTTGACATTTGAGTTGTAGAGACTATAGAGAGAGAAAGAGAGAGAACTTCAACTGTTGACCAACCCAAAACCTATATGCTCAGTTGAAGAGAAGGGAAGGAGGGAAAATAGGGTGATAGAAAAGATGAAGTAGGATAATTTATAGCCAAATTCATTACTGTTATAAACAGGACACATTCCTTCTGAAACTGTGGACATCGGAAGGGGAATTATGGGAGGGAATGGTAATGCTTGAGATCTTCACGGGCAGAGCCAAATAACATTCTCCAGGGTCTTTGTCATTTCTGCTTGAAAGTTGTTAACTTTTCAGACATTAGAAACCCTAGTCATCATAATTGGGATGTCTTCCAGCCGAATGTGGTTTCAAACAAAACAAATTTACTACATGGTCAGTCTGTCTGCTGTTAAATGCTGAAAGACGAACTGTCTGAGAAACACACACCGGATTTATGAACTCCAAACTTTGCTATACCTCTGTATTTCCTGCACCGCTATTTGCTACAGGTAAATCTAAAGCTCCATCGCAAACAAACAGCTGTGGACTTTTATTCTGAATTAACTTTTCTAAACTTTAATTCAGTTTATATTTTTGTCTATGACGAGATAAAAAAGACTTTTACTAATGACGGGTACTTTCAAAACAATGCTTCCTGAAGCTTCAAAATCTTGTCAAATCTGTGATTTGGAGTATGTTTGAGCAAGTCACATGATATAAGCAAAGTATGTTTTGCCGTGTTATTTTCATGATATTATAAAAAAAAAAAACTTAAATTACGATTTAATGAAAACGCATTAAATTGTTTTGTAGAACATGCAATTTTACACATTTTCAGTGTTCTCGTTGCTTATACACAGCTTTAGGTGTCCTTGCTGTCTGGACTTTTGAGTGTTTTGAAGCAGAATCGTTTTTCAAAGGAATTGCTTCAGTTGATTCAAAGTTTAGAAAACAGAATTCACTTATGACCTGATTCTTTTTATGAAGCACACAGGTATCAGTTTGAATTGGTCTGATAGATCTTTCACTGACTGAAAAACTGCTATGATACATACTGCATTCACCAGCCTTTCCCAGACGTCTCACTGAATATGATTCATTTGGGCTTGTGGAAAGGCTTAATCACTTTACAGTGGAAATAAATTAAAACGCAGTCTTTCAACACATACAATATTCACTTTCCACAAATCATGGAGTTAATACCACTGGAAAAACATTTTGTTTATAATGTCATGGTCATGAAATTTCACTGAGATGATACGTTGCCTTGGCAGTAGACTGTGAAGCTGTTGGCTTTTGGGGTGGATGAATCACTCTAACATGGAGTGCAATGACATAGGTGATAAACAGATGCTCGGGAGGGTGTTGATATGGGTGTGAATGGTATCTTCAGAACAAACATCTCTTCCATCTTCAAAGGAAAGCTCACCGAGAGGTCTGTAACAGGCTGTGGTGATCTGCTGCTCACTATCTGAAATCATAGCACAGAGTCATAGGATAATAAAGAGAGATACAGTATGTGTTGAAGACAGTTGTCAGCTCACACCCCACACCTTGCTCAGTGTGTGTTCCACTATTAAAGATATTTAGAAGACAATCACACACTGATCTGTTTGTAGTGCAAACATGACCTGATATCAGAGAGTCGTCTTGTTACAGTGCAGTGCCCTGTCTATTATAAGAAGTGGCAGAACGAACAATGGTTTATTTATCATTTGAACAATAGCATTATTATTATCATCACACCGGTTGATATGGGAATCATGAGCATATATATCTCACATTTACACTACTGTTTAAACGTTTGGAGTCAGTAAATTTTTTTTAATTTAAAGAAATTCTAATTTTTTATTCATTAAATTAATTGAAGGTGACAATAAAGACATTTATAATGTTACAAAAGAGATTTCCATGAAAATCGGTTCTGTTTAACTTTGTATTCATTTAAGAACACAAAGATATTAAGCAGTACAGCTGATCATACATTTTAAAATATATATTAAAATAAAACATTTATTTTAAATTGTAATTGCATTTCGCATTTGACTGTATTTAGTGTTTTTTTGGTCAAATAAATGCAGCCTCAGTGAGCATTTTTCAGAAATATTGAAAAATCTTCCGACCACAAACTATTGAACAGCAGTATAGATGAGGACAAAAGTCTGTTTTTGTGGTGCTTACCCAGGATATTTGATAGCTCAAGTTAACAAACTTCAGTGTCTTGGAGGTGACAGTTACATTTAGATGTCTGTGCCATTTAATCAAGAGCATTATTATTTATGGAAGCTGTTATGAACTTGCTGACTTGCAACTAACTTGCAAGTAAAATTCACTTTGAACTGTTGCTCCGCTGTAAAATAACTTTATGCTCATGTTCATGTGGCTTATGTGGAAGTGTCCGAGTTACGTAATTGTGTATTTCTGTAAACTTTGGCACATAAGTCATACTTCAACTAATGCAGTTTGCTTTCTAGCAACGCACTAGTAAACACATACACGCTGCAAACCACTCAGAATACCTTAGCAACCGCATAGCAACACACTGGCAATCACCCACAATTGTGGCAGTGAGTTTTCCTTCAGAAAATGTAAAAATATAGTTTGAAATGGAGAATTTAGTAAAAAGATTTTTTTGATGTCTGAAGAGAAATATGATTTCAAACAGGATATAAGAAGTTAACACAGGACGTGATGCAGGGTTTCTCGTGTCAGACAAGAAACCGCTGTAACCCAAAGAAAATGAGCGCAAAGACGTCTCCATGGATACATGGAGGAATACATGACATCCTGTGTGTTCTGATGCAAAAGCACTCTCTTGTTTTTCAGAACTCTATGAACCTGCCCCCAGATAAAGCACGTCTCCTCCGGCAGTATGATAATGAGAAGAAGTGGGACCTCATCTGTGACCAGGTACAGCCTCCACAATCACCCACTGTTAAGTCACACCCTTGCAGAAGAATAAGCCTTCAAGAATGGTGTTATTGACATGACATTTAAAAATATATATTATTACAGTTGTTATTATTAACAAGTTAAGAGGAAGTTTTTTGGCCCACAATTTTATCAGATTTGAATGATTTATCACACAGAAGAAAAGGCAGACACAGGATCATACCTACTACTCATCTCATTTCACCCAGAAATGAAAATTCTATCATCGTTTACTCACCCTCATGTTGTTCTAAACCCATTATCTTCTGTGGAACACAAAATTGAGGATTGTACCCATCGTTATTTTCCATGTAGTTGCAAGGAACAGGGTGTGAAGCTTTCCAGTAGTTGTTTGGACCACTTTTATGATAATTTTAGTTATTTTATCCTCAGTCCCCATTCATTTTAATTGCAATGAAAATAGCGGCCTATCCAGTCTTCAGAATTTCTCCTTCTGAGTTCATACTTTCATACAGATTTAGAATAATATGAGGGTGAGTAAATTATGACAGAATTTCATTTTAAAAATTCATTTTCATTTTCCCTTTAAAAAAAACTGACATGTCTTGTTAAATGCAGGGTCTTGCTGAAATAAATGCATCAGTGCATTAAATGATGACTTTGTTCTACATTTTGTGCGTTTTCTAAAACTATTTATGAATGTAGTCATGCATCTTGACAAATCTGTGCTGCTGAAAAAGGGAGTTCATAGTTCCAACAAAAAATAAGTTTTTTTTAAATCAAAATAACATAAAATGATTAAAGGGGTCATATGATGCGATTTACATTTTTCCTTTCTCTTTGGAGTGTTACAAGCTCTTGGTGCATAAAGAAGATCTGTAAAGTTGCAAAGACTAAAGTCTCAAATCCATAGAGATATTCTTTATAAAAGTTAAGAGTCAACCACGCCTACATGTCTATGTCAGGATGTAGGAAGATTTGCATAACGCCGCTCAAATGTTCACGCAAAGAAAGAAGGCGTAACTTTTATTCTCGCTGTAGTATTGTTGCTGCCGCGGCCATGTCGTGAAGGCACTGTGTGATTCGTTGTGAAAGCAAAACTACTTTGTTTGGCCTTTCAAAAGAGTACGATATATGCTTCGTCATGCCTGGAGCTGATCCGTGCTGGTTGCTGAGGAAATACTACAACTTTGCGCTGTGGATCGCCGGATCGGCTTTCACCGTGGATGAAGCAGAGTCCAGCCCGGGGTCGTCACATGTGATTGCCGCAAGACAGCCGGCCGCTCCTTCGACGAATCCGCCGGCCGCGCCATTCTCAATCCCGCCGCCGCTCACTCTAGGCCGCCGTGTGAAACTACTTTGTTTGGTCTTCCAAAAGAGGACACGACTAGAAATCAGTGGTTAAGTTGTATTTGCAACACTGTTCCAGAACAGTTCAAACCAAAAATTCAGATGTGTGCAGCGCATTTTATGGAGGACTGTTTCCTGATCCTGGAAGAGTAGACTTGAATGCCGGGTTTTCTGACTCAAAGACTGTAAGTACGTTTTCATTTTAAGGATTTGCCACTGACGATTCAAATGTGAGTTTTGAGTAGTGTAGAGTAGGGCATGTTGTTTGTCATTTCTCCAATCACAAATGCAGACATGGTTTTATGTTTACGCGGCGCGATGCAACGCAACGCGAAAAAAAGACAGTATAAGTCATTATAATCCGTAATTATGTCCCCACTGGATGCAATAAATGCCTCGTTTATAATGGGTTTTAATGTTTTTGTCTCATCGCTCCATCACAATATGGTAAGGGGCGTAACATTTCCATCACACGCTTGAGGTATTCGGCCAATCACAACGCACTGGATAGCTGGCCAATCACAGCACACCTAGCTTTTAAGACCGATGAGCTTTGTAAAAATCTACGCGTTTCAGAAAGGCGGGGCATAGAGGAGAAACAATAATGTACAGTATGTGGAAAATAATGTGTTTTTTGAACCTTAAACTGCATAAACACATTTCATTACACCAAATACACAAAATAATGTTCTTTTTTAGCAACATCATATGACCCCTTTAAGAATATGTGTATGGATTAGTTAAAACAGAACATTCATCTTTTGTTGGAAATGTTTTTTGCTTGTGTATAACTGTCTCCCCATCTCCTCTCTGTTAGGAGCGTTTCCAAGTGAAGAATCCTCCACATACATACATCCAGAAACTACGTGGATATTTAGACCCAAGAGTCACACGCAAGGTCAGCATCATTCGCCAGATTGCGTAACTAATGTCTGTTTCTCACCTGGTTGCATGTGAACATGACTTACAGCAGTTAAAGACGTTGTATTATTAGAAATAAAAATTTTTTTACCAACTTCACCAAAAAATAGCTTAAATAGCACCAAATAGCACCAAAATTATGTTACATTTATGAATCCTTATTCTTTTGCACAAAAAGCCTGAGTAGCACTATAATCATCCCCTGAGAAAAAAATGTAAAAAAAAAAACATTTGCAGTCAGTAAAATTATATTTTTAGTGAGCAAGTATGCATTAAATTGATCAAAAGCCAAGTCAAGTCAAGTCACCTTTATTTATATAGCGCTTTATACAATAAAGATTGTGTCAAAGCAGCAAAAAACTTGTGCTGATAATGCAAGAGGTGCAAAAAAAAAAAAAGTGAAAGTAAATACATTTATAATGTTACAAAAGATTCAATTTAATAAATGAATAGAAATATATGCTGTTCTTTTGAACTTTCTATTTGTCAAAGAATTCTAAAAAAAAGAATCATGCTTTCCACAAAATTATTAAACAGCACAGCTGTGTTCAACGTTAATAATAGTATTAATAATAATAAATGTTTCTGGAGCACCATATCAGCATATTAAAATTATTTCTGAAGAATCATGTGACACTGAAAGACTGGAGTAATGGCTGCTGAAAATTCAGCTTTTGCTGTCACAGGAATAAATTACATTTTAAAATATATTAAAATGGAAATCAGTTATTTTACATTTTAAAAGTTTTTTCTTTAATCGAATACATGCAGTCTGGGTGAGAATAAAATACTTCATCATTTAAAAATCTTTAAAAATCAGCCACAAACTTTTGAATGGCAGTGTATATGCAAAAAATACAAATATTCAGGATCCGTTAATTTCCTATAATCTGCTCAATTGGTTTTCCTGTTTAGGTCATTAGTGTTGACCTCTTTTGTGCACTAAAAGTTTAACCAGAAATGTTGTTTTACCCAGCACTAGTTAGTGTTTATTGAAAAGTTGAAACTATTCTGGTAAGGTTGCATAATTTTTCTCCAAACATGCCGATAATCATCAGTTTGTCTGTGTGTGCAGAAATTCCGCAGAAGGGTTCAGGAATCCACCAAAGTCCTGCGAGAGCTGGAGATATCACTGAGAACCAATCACATAGGGTGACTAATTCCTAACTTCGCTCATTTAATCCTTCTTCTACATCTCTGTCTTGTGCTTATCTCTACAAATACCCCTCCCAACAATCACCCAGAGTAACATCCCATGATCCTCCAGTAACTAATGCAGTGAGGTTATGAGGCTCCTGTATGCAGTGCAGGGAACAATAGCCTTACTAGTGGTATGGACGGGAAGCTGTGGTATTGTTTGGCTTTCCTCTCTAAAGAATCACTCTTTCTTTGTTCTTCCTGTTGTAGAAAGCTAGATGTAGTGTTTGCTCGTGCACAAATCCCTGCTGTTGGGCTGTTCTGCCAGCTTCCCTGTGCTTACAATGCTGTCTGTAGACCTCGGCAGTATCCAGATGGTTTTTATTCATCTCGTCCCTTACACACCACCCCCATAGCAGCTTCAAGCAACTCAGGAAGCTTAGTTGTGTATGCTGGAGAGCCAGGAAGCTTGTAGCATCCAACAATGTAGTGTGTGAAAGGACACGTATACACACACACACACAAAGGTTTATAAGACACATTGATGAACCCAGACGAAACATTGACACACATTTCTGTAACAATTAAACACTGACAACTGGGAACATGTATTCACTGTTTATATTCCGTTTTCACGGGCACACGCACTTATTGAATACAAAAAGACAATGTGTTGTGAAACTGTAAAACCATTTACACACAAACACATTACAGAAAAGCATGCATTGTATGGTACATCCGTACCAATCGGATGAACACACCCAGAAGCGATGGGGAATAACTAGTAACTTTACTACATTTTTCAATAGTTCAGCTGTTTTGCAAATTACAAAATGCTACAGTGTTGTTTTTATTGTCACATTGCATTGTGCATTCAAATTTACAGTTGAGAGAAATGAGGAATGAAACACACTCATACAAATAACATTGGAAAAATGAATTTATTTGTTTGGACCATGTAAATGAATAATTCAAAATAATGCTTCATCGATTCGAGTTTCCACATAGAAGCAATTCATTTGAGGTATTTTTGGCAAAATATTCAGTTGCATGCTGCTGTTTGTTGTTTTTAAATCAGTTGTGTAAAATAGGTTGCATTCTAGTTTTTGTTAGTTGTTTATTGTATTTTGTTATTTGCGAGATAATCTGTTTAGTTTAAAGATAAGTTTATAAGTTTGGAGCTAATTGTTTTGTGCCAAAAATATGGCTTTACATTAAAATAACATGTAAATGTAAATTTGTAAATGTAAACATGTAAATTTTTATCATTTATTAAATAATATTATAATTAATAATAATATGTAAATGTATTTTAATAATAGTATTTTGTTATTAACATTAAACATTTTATAACAAGTATATCGTCTTATGTTTTACTATTTAAGAAGATTTTGTTTCTTTATATTTAAGATTTTGTTCCTTTAAGTTGCTTTTTCTCAAGTCGCTAGTTACTTTTTTTTGTTAGTTGTGTAGTTTAGCTAAATACTACTTTAAAAGATTAAAAAGCTATATTCAGTTCAAATTACTATAAATTATGAGTAGCTTGGCAAACTACAGGTTCAAAGTAGCTTCCTGAACACTGATACACACACATGGGCAAAATCTCAGAAAACGTTGGAAAAATATGATTATTAATTACTTCCTTTGTCTTCTGTGTGAACTATAAATAACCAATACACTCCTCTCTCCTGCATTAAGAGCAGTTTCTCATTCAGAAAAAGAATAGGCAGGCTATTTTCACTTTTTTGGGGGGGCTGGATGAAATGGAACAGAGGACTGTTTATTGCATGTGTCCGATCCCTGGCCTCTTTCCGATGTGCTACTCCTTGCTTTGCCAAGACAATCTGAAATAGCATCTGGCCGGACAGGAAAAGAGTCTAAAGGGGAGCAGGGAGGGGGAGGTGGTAGACAGGAAGCTGATGATGGAGTGAGCCCCCACCACCTTTTCAGTCTGAAAAGTCTGTTTCTTGCTCAGTTCCACATTTTGTCTGTTTTTCTTGTGCTCGTTTGGGAGTCTGGTATCTTTTTTTTCTTATGCATCTATAACCATTTAACAGTAGAGATAGATTTCAACCAATCATTACAGCTTGTGTTTGAGAGGTAAAAGAAGAATGAAAATGAGAGACGTGCAGAAAAAAAAGAATGCATGTATAGAAAAAGTGAATGTTTGCACAGGGAAGGCAGTCTAAACACTCCCACTGTCAGAGATTTAACCTCCTCTCTCAAGCTATGATCTCCACGTTCTTTTGCTCTGCGTGGTGGAAATTCCTTTTGCTTTGAGTTTCCCCCTCAGAAATCTGGAGCTAAATGAAGGAAATCTAAAACTAGTCTCCATTCTTGACTTTCCATCTCAGTCTTGCCAAGCTAGTCAACTCAGAGCAGCCTTGAGGGTGAAAATGTCTTGGGATTTTAAAGTCAACATGAAACAACATTCGCTGTTTCCATAATATGACGTATTATACATTATACAATACAGATTATACAATATACAATAGGATATTCAACAATAAAAAGGGCGGGACTTAATTTTTTTCGATCAGGATTTCATTGGCTCATGAAAAGTCAGTGTTCTGTAGAGTTTGCTGTCAGTTGTGAAGGATTTCTTCCCTCTTAAAAAATGTTGGCACTCATTGGTACCCATTTGGAAGATTACAAAAAACAAAACAAAAAAAACCCACTTGTTTTCTGTTGCACTAATGTCCAATGATAAATCATTCACCGTAAGCCCTGGAACATATATGCAGAAAGTAAATGGGATCAATTTCATTAATTTCATGCTCACTTAGTCTGAAGCTTAAGTTTGTTGTCATATTAATAGTCTAGAAAAGAACAGTTTTATTTCTTCACCTTTTTTATCTTCATCTCTGTCTTTCATATTTTCCACATAGTTTTACTCTTTGTTAATCTGATCCTGTTTGCTGATTGTTGTCGATGGATGTACATGACCGTTTAAAGGTTTGGGATCGGTAAATAGGATGCATTTATTTGATCAAAAACACAGTAAAAGCAGTGATATTGTGAACTTTTTTTTCTTTTTAATACATTTGATAATGTCATGTATTCCTGTGATAGCAAAAATGAATTTTCAGCAGCCATTACTCCAGTATTTAATGTCACATGATCCTTCAGAAATTGTTCTAATATGCTGATTTGCTGCTCGTGAAGTTTTTTTGTCGAAAACGTGATAATTTTTTTATAGAAATCTTTTGTAACATTATAAATATCTTTGCTGTCATGTTTGATCAACTTAATGCATCCTTGCTGAATAAAAGTATTAATATATATATATATTTTTTTTAAGTTTCTTTAAAATATTTAAACGGCAGTGTGAGTGTGTTTGCTTTCAGAAGGATGTTAACGGGATGCTTTGATCTCCCTCTTTAATATGGCAGGTGGGTTCGTGAGTTCCTCAACGATGAGAACAGAGGCCTGGACATCCTGGTGGAGTATCTCTCCTTCGCCCAGTGTGCCGTCATGTGAGTGACACCTTAAAAACAACCAACCACAGGCATCTTCACAACACGCCAATCCAAGCACCATCTGTAGGACATTTAAAAGATCAAGTAGCCAGGCTTCTGCCTGTTGTTTTCTGGAGTCTTCTGGAGTTGTTTAATGATTATGAACGTGCTAAATGCATCAGTGTAGGCGTGCTGCATTCTGTTTTGCGCTTTGTTATGCCATCATAATGTGCTGCTCTCTGCATAATCCTGGACCCCCTGTTACTGAACTCTGTTGCTAACCTTCCCCATCCTTACCCCCTGCCCTCCATATGTGCGGTTCCCTGTCTATGCGGCTCAGGTTGGATTTTGAAGGGCTGGAGAATGGTGAGGACTTTTCGCTTGACAAGGCTAAGTCCTGGAGCAGGTCCATTGAGGATCTGCACCAGAACGGCTGCAATACACTGGTGCGCTCTGCACGACAATCCGTCCTCCGGTATGTATTGGCCTGCTTGTGCTTGCTATGCTCTGCCTCGCTTTAAAATTATGTTTGCTTATGTGATGATAACTTGCATTGGTTTGGTTCAGGCTGCTGGCCAATCACAACTCATTAATTAGAAATATTTAAGTTTTGAGACTGTTCTATATATATATATATATAGAACAGTCTCAAAACTTAAATATTTCTAATTAATGAGTTGTGATTGGCCAGCAGCCTGAACCAAACCAATGCAAGTTATCATCACATAAGCAAACATAATTTTAAAGCGAGGCAGAGCATAGCAAGCACAAGCAGGCCAATACATACCGGAGGACGGATTGTCGTGCAGAGCGCACCAGTGTATTGCAGCCGTTCTGGTGCAGATCCTCAATGGACCTGCTCCAGGACTTAGCCTTGTCAAGCGAAAAGTCCTCACCATTCTCCAGCCCTTCAAAATCCAACCTGAGCCGCACAGACAGGGAACCGCACATAAGGAGGGCGGGGGGTAAGGATGGGGAAGGTTAGCAACAGAGCTCAGTAACAGGGGGTTCAGGATTATGCAGACAGCAGCACAGGACAATCCAAGCAAATTATAGCACGGCATAACAAAGCACAAAACAAAGTGCAGCATGCCTACAATGAGGCATTCAGCACGGTCATTATCATTAAACAACACTATATATATATATATATATATATATATATATATATATATATATATATATATAAAAAAAAATTCTCCAAAATTTGAAAAACTGGCAAGAATAGGGTACAAAAGAGCTTCAGTCTTAAAAAATTAACCCTATAAATCCTACTGTATTAAATTTAATACACAAATTTCTAAGGCTTCAAAATTAGCTGAAAAAAACTGTTGTACACAGTCTACTTACATGCCTTCTGTCGTCTGACTGATAGTTCATACTTTTTTAGTAAGCATAATTCGGCCCTTCAGGTCTTAGATTTACTTGATTCTCCATATATTATTTTTAGAAGAATGTTAAAATGGGAGTATCAATTTTACCATGTGGGAAGTTGTGGCCTAATGGTTAGAGAGTTGGACTCATAACCCAAAGGTTGTGGGTTCGAGTCTCGTACCGGCAGGGATTGTAGGTGGGGGGAGTGAATGTACAGCACTCTCTCCCACCTGCAATACCACGACTGAGGTGCCCTTGAGCAAGGCACTGAACCCCAACTGCTCCCCGGGCGCCGCAGCATAAATGGCTGCCCACTGCTCCGGGTGTGTGTTCACTGCTGTGTGTGTGCACTTTGAATGGGTAAATGCAGAGCACTAATTCCGAGTATGGGTCACCATACTTGGCCACACATGTCACACGTCACGTCACTTCAAATATCTTTCAATAAATACTTTTGCATTTAATTATATTTTGCACATATGCAAACCTTTTTTTATTTTTAAAAAGTATTTATTCTAAAGGTTCAAAAACTGTTCCATAAAAAAAAAAAAAAAAAGATTTTTCTGATTATTATTTTGTATGTCAGGCTTTTGAGGGTTTAGTACTTTTTATGTTAAAATTTTATTATATTTATATTTGTTACTTTCCAATAATAAACATGAAATTAATATAAAAATGAACATAAAGTTAAACAAAAACGTTATAAAATTACAAAAGAATTCAAACCAAAACCAGCTTGAACAGGGTTATGAGAAACAGTGTGTATAAAGTTAAGCAGTAGGTGCTAGTTTGAGTCAAATATTGGTTTGTAGTTATTTTTGTTTTTATAATTATTTTCCATAAATAAAAGAAATATATATTTGTTTGATCAGTATTTCTTACAATAAAATAGTTGCATGCAAAATAAATATGTCGTTTTTGGTCATTAAAATTAATAAAAATCATCAGTTCATCAGGTTATGTCAGAATTAAGACATTAGATTTAACCTTGTTACAGGCCAATATCAGCGTTTTAATACAAACATTCAATGTGTTTTAAACTAGCTACTCATGCTAGGTTAATTTTATATTAAATAATAGTTTATCTAATAAATCTAATGGTTTTCACAAGAAAAACATTTTGTGTCCCTTTGGTTTATTCAAGTAATTGCACCCTTTATTTGGAAAGTTAACTTCCTGTCTCACTTCACACATTATAATACACGTGTTCATGAAATGACAGGAACATTTCTTTGCACCGAAACTAGGAGTCACGTGTGCAGTATTTTGCCCACTGAGCCATAGCCACACTTCCTGAGGGTAGATAACACATGCAGATGAAAGTACCTCTTTATATGGTGCATATGAGTGATCGTTTATGCACGTTTATGTTATGTCAAATCAAGCACAGCTCTTGTGAACTACTAACTTTGTCCTTCTATTACAGTTATGGCTCAGCTGCCAACAGCAAAACCATCAAGAACTCCAGATTAGTCAGTCAAAAGGATGATGTGCACGTGTGCATCATGTGTCTCAGAGCAATCATGAACTATCAGGTACAGGATGCACAGACCTGATTGGTCACAAAAACCTCAGGGACATTTGACTTGATTGCACATAGAAAGGAAGTAGCAAATAAAAACTGTTCTGTCAGTAGTATTATGAAGTTTCATCGAACATGACAAGTAACCTGTTATTTTCCAGAATGTTTTATACATCGGTGTCTGGCCAGTTAACAAACGGCAGCACAAAATCTCAATTGAATCACCATTGCATTGTGGTAAATATTTTTTTAATATACATATACCACATTGCTTTTTCCTTTCTCACTCCTAGTATGGATTCAACCTTGTCATGTCTCACGCGCATGCAGTCAACGAGATCGCCCTAAGTTTGAACAATAAGAACCCAAGGTAAGAATTAGGGTTCTGTATAACAGTGTTCAAAGGTCCACCCAAAAATGAAAATTCTGTCATTTACTCACCCTCATGTCTTTCCAAACCTGTGTGCATTTCTTTCTAGTATTTTCGGACCAAAATATACTATGGAAGTCAATGGTTTGTTTACCAACATTATCCAAAAGACCTTCTTTTGTGTTTCACATAACAAAGAACCAAACAGTTTTTGATCCCACTGACTTTCATAGTATTTTTTGTTCTTCATATGGAAGGCAATGGGATCCAACACTGTTTGGTTACCAACATTCTTCAAAATATCATCTTTTGTGTTCCACAGAAGAAATAAAGGTTTAGAATGACATGAGGGGAAGTAAATTAAAAAAAAGTTTAGGTGTACAATCCCTCTAAGAGCCATTCACAGAGAACTTGTTTTGTGTAAATAGTCCCTTAGTAGGTAGCTACCTGATGAGCCTGATTAATGCAGTACTTCCAGTGACCTTTAGTTTTGGTGGCGCTGTGAAGTTGGGGATTAGAGTTGTGCATTTGTTTGGTAAGAATGAATTCTTTCAAGCAGATTAGTGTCAGTCTTACTAAGTGTATTTGTAGTAGAAGCTTAGATCAGTTCAGACTGAAGCATGGAAAACCCCCCCCAGCCTTCTTACATCTTGAGAAGCATCATTCCTAGAGCTCAATGAATCATACGCCAATGTATCATTCAATCACAGCTTTTAACTGTGCTGTAAAGGCTTTTCTTGGATTGTGTCATTCCAAAACAGCACCAAAAAATTACCCCACCAACATTTACTGATACTCAGCATCAGACGTTACCCAGTTAGAGGCTCAAGTTGAAAGTGTGCTATCACGTTTCTGATTTTGAAAATTGTATAACAATTGACACAAAGCCGCAGTTCTCCCTGAAGCATAGATCTAAGCAGGTGTGGGTGGGTAATGGTCTGTCAAGTTGGTAATGTTACCCGTCTTATTGTTTGAGTCCTGCTCTGCCACTCTTGTCCAGTTGAATGCTCACAGAAGCTTTTGTTCTGCCTATAGAACAAAGGCACTGGTCCTGGAGCTGCTGGCTGCTGTGTGTTTGGTGCGAGGAGGCCATGAAATCATCCTCTCAGCGTTTGATAACTTCAAAGAGGTAGATCCTGGGACTTTTACACCTGCATGTGTATTACAAAAACCATGGATGCTATATTTGTTTTTGTCATGTTTTTGCTTCAGTTCGTGCACATATAAAGCCAATTAGCTGGCCATTTTCTCTCTTCCCACATGCATTTGTGGGAAAACACCACATCTTAAGCCAGTCGTTTCATCAAACCAACGTCTTTGATAAGGATAAATGTTTTGGGGGGGAGTGAATTGCCTGCAGACTTAACCGTTCACTCAACCTCTCAGTTTAGTTTGCCTAGTCATTTAAATACCGGAAACGGGCCAATTATCCTGTAACTGTCCAACTCTATCCTGAGAAACTAGGAGAGCTAATCAACACAGCAGTCACAACAATGCTGTGAGAAAGACTGACATAAAATACTGCCTGTAAACTGGCAGAACTAGTCTTCAAAGAGTCTGTGGTTGACCTAACTTTGAATTTAGACTAATGAAATAAATGTTCCACATGTAAATCAGCAAAGCATTATGAACAAGAAGCTGATTGAAGTATGTGAAATAAGTTTCCATAGTGAAATGTGAGGGCCTAACGTATTTCCTTTTGTTATTTCAATCTCCTTCTTTTCCCATAAAGTCTACAATAAAGTCTGAATTTCTCCTGAATGGACTGTGATCTGAATTCTCCATCAGTCTCAGCTTCACTAAACCTCATAACCTCATACTCTGCTGTTTCTAAAACTAGAAGACTCTAAAACATGTTATGTTTGTTTTTCTCAAAGTTTGGTTATTTGTGAGGCTATAAGAGCTATAACTATCACACTTTATATTTGAACACTTCACAAATCTGTTCATACTGGACTCAAAATATGTGCAGGTATGTAAGGAGAAGCACCGCTTTGAGAAGCTGATGGAGTATTTCCGTAGTGAAGATGGGAACATCGACTTCATGGTAGGTGCATGAAAGAATTTTGTATTTGTAGAATTTTGAGACCAACGTGGATGTGCTTGACTCTGTGGTTTGTGTCTCAGGTGGCTTGTATGCAGTTCATCAACATCGTGGTCCATTCGGTGGAGGACATGAACTTCCGTGTACATCTGCAGTATGAGTTCACTAAGCTGGGGCTTGATGACTTCCTGGAGGTATCCAGTCAATGTTCAAACTAATCTAAAATCATTCAGTGTTTAAATAGCCAAGTTAAGTAAATAGTCAAGTTTGTTGTGTTTTTTTAAATTTTTAATACTATTGAATAATTCAGTCACACCACATGATAAAACATTAAGAAATCCCCTGTGTTTCCTTCCAGAAATCCAAGCACACCGAGAGTGATAAGTTGTCGGTGCAGATCCAGGCTTACCTGGACAATGTGTTTGATGTTGGAGGTCTGTTGGAGGACGCTGAAACAAAGAATGTGGCCCTGGAGAAAGTGGAGGAGCTGGAAGAGCATTTGTCACATGTAAGAACCATTAGATACTCTTTTCTTTCATTATTGCTGTTATTATTATACCTCATACACTCAGCATACATCAGCTAAAATGTGAAAAGCTTCATTGCATCAAATAAATATTTAAATAAATACATTTTATTGTATTTATTATTATATTTAATATTGAATATTTAAAAAATAAACAAAAAATATTTGTGATAGGTCTACAAGTGCTTTGGAAATTCATAAGCACCACTATTCTTTTTTTTTTTTAACATTTCTAATAACTTCCATAAATTTGTACATTTACATTCAAAATTTCGATTTTTATCGAAGTATCTTTTGTTCACTAAGGCTATAATATATTTTAAAATGTGATTTATTTATGTGGTGGCAAAGCTGAATTTTCAACAGCCATGAATATTTTTTGTAGAAGTTCAAAAGAACAGCATTTATTTAAAATGGAAATCTTTTGTAACATTAAAAATGTCTTTACTGTTACTTTTGATCAATTTCATGTGTCCTTGCTGAATAAAATTTTCTTTACTGACACCAAACCTTTAAACGGTAATGTGTATATTATGATGTCATTATTGACCAATTTTTTAAGAGTATTATGTTATAAATGTTTGCTTATATCACCACACTCAGATTTTGATTGAATTTATTCATAGTTACTTTTTATTATGTCAGATCTGTAAATATCAAGGAGAGTTTATTGTACCACAGATCTGCCATGTTGTCACTTTCAATATCTTAATGACATCAATCTTATCAGAGTTCAGGGAAATCAGGGTTATTCCCTAGTAATCACCCACAACATAAAGCTGGAGCTTAATGAAAGCTTAATGATTCACTTTTGGTGCAGAGAGATCTTAGAATATCATTTATAATCTGACTTGCAGACTGATTGGGTTTATAAGTGTTTAGTTCAACAGATAAGGCTTGTAAATCTGAGTATGCAGTATGCAGGCAGTGTGAAAACAAATCTCGGATTGTTCCTCTGATCTTGACTCAGTAGTGGGCCTTTCTGCTGGGCTGAGTTATGCTCATGGCAAAGGTCTTGAAATGACCAGATAATCACACAGAAATTCTGCTCTTGCTGGGGGAGGAGGACAGAATTCCCCAAATATTCCACTATGTTTGTACAGTAATCTTCACTCTATCAGAAGTGAAAGTGATGCTGCCTCATCTGCTGTGTCATACTGCTGGAAATATTGTTATTGATTCATAAGAGAGTGAGAGAGACAGAATGAAGATTAAAAGGGTATGGAAGAGATGTTTATAGGATTAATGCTCTGAACTGCCTCGCCATCTTCACTAATTTTTGTTTCAACACCTCTCACGCTGTCATGTTTTCTCTCGTGCTCTCTTTGTTTTTGTTCTAGGTGACAGAGAAGCTTTTAGATGTTGAGAATGAGACCATGACAAAGGTAGCAGACCTGGAGAAACAACTGTTACACAAAGACAAGGAACTGACAGCCATAAAGGTAAGCCTCACTCTCAGTCATTTATATCACCTTCACTCATGAGCTTGACATACAGATACCTCCTATAATGATTTGCTTGTGTAATATGAATAAGCAATAGGAATGATGACAGCGTTCAGTGAAAAAAGAGAAGTGAAAGTGATGCTGCCTCATCTGCTGTGTCATACTGCTGGAAATATTGTTATTGATTCATAAGAGAGTGAGAGAGACAGAATGAAGATTAAAAGGGTATGGAAGAGATGTTTATAGGATTAATGCTCTGAACTGCCTCGCCATCTTCACTAATTTTTGTTTCAACACCTCTCACGCTGTCATGTTTTCTCTCGTGCTCTCTTTGTTTTTGTTCTAGGTGACAGAGAAGCTTTTAGATGTTGAGAATGAGACCATGACAAAGGTAGCAGACCTGGAGAAACAGCTGTTACACAAAGACAAGGAACTGACAGCCATAAAGGTAAGCCTCACTCTCAGTCATTTATATCACCTTCACTCGTGAGCTTGACATACAGATACCTCCTATAATGATTTGCTTGTGTAATATGAATAAGCAATAGGAATGATGACAGCGTTCAGTGAAAAAATTTCAATTAATCCTTTGTGGTTTTTGCATAGTCTGGTTACTAGATGTCTAAATGTCTAATAACAGTAAGATACCATGTTTTTTGGACAAATATGTCATGCTTTTTTGGATATCCACAATAGTATTCTTTGAAGTACCTTCATAGAAATTACCATTAAATATTATGCTAATCATTCAGTACACTGGACTTTTTTTCACAGACTGTGATGGTATTAATACTGTGCATCTAGCAAAGTGTTGATATTTTCAGTTTTAAAATATCTTAGAAACTTGTCTTAGAAACACTATTGTGGATTGTTTATTTTGCTATTTGGGTGACTAATGCTATTTTGATATCTAATGCTTCTGAGACCCACAGAAATGTGAAAAGTGTCCATAGTATATATCAAAATAGAGGATCACACACAGTATCATCTGAATTTATTTTGAAATTTGGCGTTTGGAGTTTGGAGTTACTTTGGTTGTAGAAAACAGTTGTCATTCATAACCAAACTGTGCAACAGGACTGAAAACCACTGTACCATCTATCAACCATAGTATTTTCAGGGAATTTACATGTGTTGTGTGGCCTTATAAGATGATAGACTGAGTACCTTTGTACCCTAATATCCTTGACTGGTCATTCTCATGGTTATGCAGGAGACATATGAGTCCACTAGCTCACAGGTGCACACACTGCGGCGAATGATCCAGGAGAAGGATGCTGCCTTCCAGAGGCACAACAACATCAAGAAGCAATTGCTGGAGCTGGAGCAGCAGGGCACCATCCGTTTACGCAAGCAGCCTGATGGGGATATTGCTATTGAGGCTCTGGGTGGAGGAGGACTTGTTGGTGGAGCAGTGACTGGAGCATCTCTGGGAGACCTGGGCTTACTTACTGCAAGCATGAGTGGGAGTGGCGGTCTGGGTGTCACTTCACCTGCTGCTACTGAAGCTGTTGCTCCACCACCACCTCCACCTGCCCCACCACTCCCTTCAGAAGGTACTGAGTCTGAGAATAGCATGGAAAATCAGTTGTGTATGTGAATCTTGTGCGGTGTGTTATCAGTTACTGTTGCTGGAGTCATTGCTTGACCAGGAGATTTGATATTCTCAGAACTCATTTGATTTGAAATCATTTGATTTCAAGAGCGGACAAGGAAACGTTTAGATTTGGCACCAGTGCAAACCTACTGTCAATGGAAAACAGATATGTAAGGGTTCCCTTGAAGCTCAAGATTATGGAGACTTTTGTAGAGTTATCGTAGTGTATAATAATCAGAAAAACAAGGCTCAGCTGTGAACACTTAGTTCCCTCTGAGTTACAGAGCTTAGCAGGAAAAGGAAAAGCTAAGGGTGTTTCCTTTAGCTAAGGAGCAGTTTCTGCTGAGGAAGCAGCTGGATTGGGACTAAATAAATATCTATTAAACCCTTGTGACTGTTTGGGAACAGATTTAAGAGTAAAGCTGAAAATGTATGCATACTAATGTATTACATCTGTCTTATGTTATATAGTCGAGTGTGTTCCTATTCCTCCTCCACCTCCTCCACCTCTGCCTGGACCATCACCATCAGTCATCCTTAGTGTCGGCTTATCAGGTAATACAAAATTAAAAATAATAATAGGAAACAGTACTATCTTAGCTCTGATTTGTTGCGAACATAAGATTAAAGCTAGTCACAGTGACAAATCACTCAGGATCTTGTCATACGCAATTATGTTAGTAAATGTAATGTTTATTCTTCTATTGTAGCCATACGCATCAAGAAACCCATAAAAACCAAGTTCCGCCTTCCTGTCTTCAACTGGACTGCACTGAAACCCAACCAGATCAATGGCACCGTCTTCAACGAGATTGATGATGAGCGTGTGCTTGAGGTGAAATTGAGTATGACTCAGATTCGCACATTATTTTGAGTGTGAGTTCCATGAAACTCTCCACCCATGCCATGTGCTCTCGATTGGTCGTGTAGGAGTTGGATCTGGAGAAGTTTGAGGAGCTGTTCAAGACGAAAGCCCAGGGTCCTGTGGTGGATCTGTTGTGCTCAAAGAGCAAGGTTCCCCACAAGGCTGTCAACAAAGTGCAGCTGCTTGATGCCAATCGCTCGAAGAACTTGGCCATCACTCTGCGCAAGGCCAACAAGACCTCGGAGGAGATTTGCAAAGCCATTCAAACGTACGCACATATACAAGTGTCTTAATCTTCTCAAAAATCTCCTCTGAGATTAATATGATGCAATTTCCATGTTGCAGGTTTGATCTTAAAGCCCTGCCGGTGGATTTTGTGGAATGCCTGATGCGGTTTCTGCCCACAGAGGCTGAGAGTAAACTACTGCGTCAGTACGAGCGTGAGAGGAGACCTCTGGACCAACTCTCTGAGGAAGACCGTTTCATGCTCCTCTTCAGCAAGATTGAGCGGCTCACTCAGAGAATGAGCATCATCACATTTGTGGGCAACTTCAATGATAATGTCAACATGATGACACCGGTGAGCAACTATGATGGTCAACAAATGGGAAGTTGGGAAATTTTGTGGGTTTTTAAAATAGATTTTTGGTGAAGAATGACCATCCACAGTGATTTTTTTTGTTGTTGTTGAGATATTTGTGAAAATTTTATGACCAACATCCTTGTTGTTCCTGGAACAACATTCCTGTTCACATTTTGGGGTTAAATTGAGGCATAGACTTGTCAACCTATCATTTCCCTCTGATTTTAGGGGTTGTTAGGCTTGGGGTTAAGTATAGGGTTTGTTTGTTTGATGGGAATTTTATTCATGGAACAAGAAAAGATGTTGATCTAGGAACACGTTCTTGGTAATATCACAGTCACCCTGATCAAATCATGATTTGACATCTGTTCATTTAAATCCACAGCAACTCAATGCCATCATCGCCGCATCAGCGTCAGTGAAGTCTTCTCCAAAGCTAAAGAAGATTCTTGAAGTAAATGTCTACTTGTTTCGCGTATGTGATGAGTGGGGGCTGGGCCGAGAGCCGTGGGAACGGAGCGAGGCCGGTGGAGTAATTGATAATGAGCGACACCTGCACCACTCCGTTCCCACGGCTCTCGGCCCCACCCCCACTCGTCCCAGCGTATTATAATGTTTCAAAATCATCTGAAATTTGTCTCCAGTTATGCTTAACTATCCATTTTTGTCTCCACATAGATCATTCTGGCCCTGGGCAACTACATGAACAGTAGTAAAAGAGGCTCGGTGTATGGTTTCAAACTTCAGAGTCTGGATCTGGTGAGCTTGGGTGTAGAAATTACTTCAGCAATGTTTTAGTTGAATAACAGTGCTGTTCTCACCCATGCTGATGTTGTTCTCTCACAGCTGCTAGATACTAAGTCTACTGACCGGAAGATGACACTGCTTCACTACATTGCTCTAGTCGTCAAAGAGAAGTATCCTGAACTGACTACCTTCTACAATGAACTGCACTTTGTGGATAAGGCTGCAGCAGGTCTGTGTCCTCCAGGGTTGGAATTTGAATTGAACTAACCATGTCCCGTGGGATGTTGAATTGTAATTTAAAATTAGAAATACAAGAAAGCAAAAATACAAAAAATTTAAATGACACTTACTGAAATTATATGCATTTCTTTGGATTTGACTCGAATTGCTTTAATTTTAAATCTTCCATTATAGTCTCTCTGGAGAACGTGTTGTTGGATGTTAAGGAGCTGGGTAAGGGCATGGATCTGGTCAGGAGAGAGTGCAGTCTGCACGACCACGCTGTACTCAAGGGCTTCCTCCAGACCAGCGATACACAGCTGGACAAACTACAGAAAGACTCCAAGACTGCTGAGGTGTCATTTCTCTCTTTTACAAAACACTTTCTGAATACAAAACAAGATTATCTGAATCTCAAATTGAATCCATTTACAGGAGGCCTTCAACAATGTGGTGCTTTACTTTGGGGAGAGTCCTAAGACCACGCCGCCCTCTGTGTTCTTCCCAGTGTTTGTACGGTTCATCAAAGCCCACAAGGTACTGCAATATATATTAAATGATTCACTCAATGGTTCTAGGCACTGCAGTAAAGAATCATGAATCTTCATATTATGACAAGAAGAAAACATTTGAGGCTCTGTATATGCATCAGATCAGGTAAAGACTTTTATTTTCTAAGCCTCAGGGGGAAAGGTGAACCCAACCCGACCTACTTTCACGTAATTGAGGACAGGAAGGAGCCGTTCACATGATCTGCTGTCTGGCATGTTTAGTAAACATGCTGCGGTGAAAGATCTGGCCTGCTAACCAATAGTTTGTAGGTTCAAACCCTGAATGGACACACAGTTACTATGTGTGTTTATATCTTTGGCCATCCTTGTTTTAATGTCTTCCCTGTTGGAGCATCAGCGTCAGAGCACTGGGGTGGAGTAGCAGACATTAGAAGAGGGTGAATAACAGGAAGGGGCAGCTGGGCTGAGATTTAAGGGCAGCTGCTGTGTTTAGACTGGCCTTTGCCTTCACAGCCTTTAACCCGGACACACACGCATACTCACACCTTTTCCTCACATTGTTCTGCTGGTGAATTTATGAGTCTACATGAGGAACCGAAAGAGCTCCAAGATCTCTGTGCATTCGTGTGCGTCCATATTCATATCCCTTCTCAGAGGTTGGTGGGATTGTTTAGATGTGAGGTCGTTGCCTGTGTTTTGTGCAGTGTCAGGACCTGGATCACACTCGCCTCACTGTCGGAACTGTGTTGTTGTTTTCTGCAGGAGGCTGTGGAGGAGAACGAACAGAGGAAGAAGCAAGAGGAAGCCATGAGAGAAAAACTACTAGCACAGGAGGCCAAACAGCATGACCCCAAGGTGAAATCTAAGAGCTGAGAGAAATAACTTTTTTTCCTTTAAATATCAAACTAGAAATGAGTTTTCTTTTCAGATGCCGTGTGTTTTTAAATCAAAAACTGCAATTATACTCATGAAAACATGTATCTTGTTTTCTCACTGCAGGTCCAGGCTCAAAAGAAGCGACAGCAGCAGCAGGAAATGATCGCAGAGCTCCGGCGCAGACAGGCCAAGGACCACCGGCCTGTATATGAGGGCAAAGATGGCACCATTGAAGACATTATCACAGGTGGGCCAGGCAGGACTACAATACCCATCAGCCAGGGGGCCACAATCACTGTGGTGGTCCACAGCTCTCCACATCAGCAGCTACTCTCTGTTATGTTAAACAGCGGCCCTTACAGCCCAATCACCACACTTTACAAGTGCATATCAGTTAAAACCAATGGTTCAGAATTTGAATCAACTCTCAGGGAAATTCAGAGTTAATAAGATTGCATACTAAGTGCCTCTTTTTATAAAATATGTAAATAAATTGTACAGGATGCCCTTAAGAGAGATTGTAGAAACTGTCCAGGAAATGTCCTTAAATTATTTTTTTGATAACAAAAGATCAGAATCTATGATTCGCATAATGCTCTCAGTTAAAGGTATATATATATTATTTATATTTATTTATTTGAATTATTAACCACTGAATCTTTTTTTTTTTTTTTGGCAAACACTCTCATTCCTTTAAGATTTTCTTATGCTGCAATACCAAAAAGCCAACAATTGATCTTTAAATGTAGTCCATAGGTTGTGCACATGTAGGGAAATTTTCACTATTTTAACATTTCATAAACAATGTCCCAGCCTTATGAACCCATATATATATCACTGACAGAATGCACAATATTCACTTTTCTTCTCTCCTGTTACCCCAGTCACAAAGCAATTTAATCAGTGTTTAATCTTTATTAATGCTTTTAAAGAGTTTCAGTATAACCTACATTTTACTTGAACATGTTTAACATATACTTTAATGGTTTATTCTTAAAGTTTACCCATGTATCTTGAGCTCAGGTTTATCATTAGTTAATTAACAGAGCAGTTTTTCCATAAAAAAACAAATTCCTCCATCTGAGATCTACACTAGTGTTCAAAAGTTTGGGATCTGTAAGATTTTATTCATGTTTTTGAAAGACGTCTCAAAGGTTGCATTAATTTGCATAAAAACAGTAAAAAGTGATATTGTGAAATATTATTGTAACTTTAAAATGTTTTCCATTTTATATTTTGAAATAAAATGTATTCCTGTGATGGAATTTAAGCAGCCATTACTTCAGTCTGCACTGTCACATGATCCTTAAGAAATTATTCTAATATACATTCTATGTGCTGCTTAATATTTTTGTGAATAGAAACATTCAGAAGAACAGCATTTGTTTGAAATCTAAATATTTTGTAAGTTGAAATACCTTAACTCTCACTTTTGATTAATTTTATGCATCCTTGCTGAATAGAAGTATTACTTTCCTAAAAAAAACACAAAACAAAATGAAATGAACCCTAATATTTGAATGATAGTGTACCCAGTGTAGAAGATTTTATAGCGATGGCTGTTAAATAGGATTGAAAACATCCTTGGAAAAAATCCAGGAAGTGGTAAGGGTTTCTGTTTTAGGAACACATGCTCCTTCTTAACCTCAGATATAACGTTCTGTCTCTGACCTCCCTCAGTGCTGAAGAGTGTGCCCTTCACAGCCCGCACGGCCAAACGGGGCTCTCGCTTCTTCTGCGATACCAACCTCTTCGACGAGTCCATCTGCTAGCCCCCCAAACCCCCCCCAAAAAAACTGCCCCTAATGCCGCAGGTTGTCCCGTTCTCTTACCACTTGCAAAGTGCATGCATACAACCACTCGCATGACCCATTCTGTCACTCTGGTTACCCAGCATCCTCTACTAACCTAAGCACAATGGAATAGTAGGAAACACGAGCTGTGGCTGTTCACAGATCTGAAACAGGGACCGGCCAAATCTTTCTCAAGGGAATTATGACAAATGGACTGAAAAGTATTCAAATCTGTATGAAATATATAATATAATATTTTTTTGTACTGTAAAACCGTTGCCTGACTGATGTTTACATAAATGCTTATTTGATTCAGGTTGTTAAAATAATTTTTGTTATGGGTTGTTCTATTTGTCATTGTCCAGAGAGATTTGGTCTGTGTAACAGTCCTCATTATGTTTCACTTGGTTTGTCACCTGCTAACACTCATGTTCTCTCCAATAACTCTTTGTTATACCTTTCCAGCAGAACAGGGGATTAATCTGGGTAAATTTGAGCACAGAATAATTGAAGGGTAAGAAAGGCATCATGGAGCTTCATGACGCTTTGCTCCTGTCTGCCTTTTTACCGTCAGCTCAGTTGCTTTAGCGGTGCTACATTTTGAACATTGCTACAACGCTGAAGCTTATGTGTCCAAATTAAGTCTTGTACTGAATATTGCTTTTTTGCATTGTTAAATATATATTTTATGAAACTTGTAATTGTGTAAAAAAAAAAAAGATAATTAGCTATAGTTTTACCACATTAGCTATATAGTTTTTTTTTTTTTTTTTTTTTTCACAATTTAGAATGTTTCTCAATTTTGAGAAAAAAAATTATAATTTTGAAATATAAACTTTCAATTTTGAGAAAAAATATGCGAAATCGAATATTTACGTATTTGACTTTTTACCCTCAGAATTCTAAGTTTGCATCTCGCAATTTTTTTTTAAATTTTTTTTTTTTACTAAGAATAAAAAATAAAGGTAATTGTGACTTTTTATCTCACAATTGCAAGTTTATATACGTCACAATTATATCTCTGTCTGAATTCTGACTTTTTTCTCAAATGGGCTTCCATATTTGTATTTATATAAACTATAATATTTTTATAGTTTTATATAACCTTATAAATATCAAATATTATTACGAACTAATTATTGGATAGTACAAAACCTTATTATTTCTGTTAGCTTTTCTTCAGTAGCCTATTTTCTTAGGTCTTTTGGAAAGGATCCAGGAATGAAATCTCTATTTTCTTGTCATCACTGTTGCATGTCTGCTGTTTTGTCCGCTGTATCTTTGCACTGTGCTGTTTGTCTAACATGTTTATGTCTGTCACATGCATGCAAATCTGTGTTCTATTCAGCAAGATCTACATGTAATGGTTACTGTATATAGTGGTATAGTGTTTCATTATATATGGAAATGTTATAGTATCTTTTAAGACCTCACTGAACACTGAATCTATCTATCAGTTCAGACAAATTTGTGTTGAATGGTCTTACAAAATTCTGTCATTTACTCACTCTCTTTTTTTTCTCTGTTGAACATAAGATAATTTGAAGAATGTGTGTAACCAAACAGTTTCTGGTCCCCATTGACTTCCATTGTATTTTTTCCATACTATGGAAGTCTGTGGCTACCATCAACTGTTTGGTAACCTACATTTATCAAAATATCTTCTCAAGAGAACAACAGAAAAAACAAATAAACTCAGGTTTGGAACAACATGAGGGTGAATACATGACAAAAATGTAATTTTGGGTGAACTATCCCTTTAATGTTTTTGTGGAAACCGTGATACATTATTCCTTTTTGGAGCTTGACAGCTGCCAGTCACTGTTGCTTTCATTGTAAGGACAAGTACAATATCAACATTATGCTAAATATCTCCTTTCCCAGATAAAAACATGAATGACATGAGGCTGGGTAAATGATAGAATTTTCCTTTATGGGTGAACTAGAAAGTAAGAGCAACAGAATTCTGCATTCTTTCAACCTTTTCAAAGACGGCAGCAATATTAGCAGCCAGCTCAAGTGCTGAGAATGACCCCTGCAACCCTGAGTGTTCCCTGATCTAACTCTTAACTCTCTCCCTTCCCCACTCACAGATCTCCGAAGCCAGCCCTTCCTGCGAGCTGATGCGGTGATCCGGAATGGGTGGAAGCGACCCTAAAGACCCCCCACTCACTCACCCCCCGCCCCGCTTTCTTCTGAAATGGCGTCTTCCTGCAATTCAAAGTGACTGAGGGAAGTGCAGGACCAAACCAGTGTCTTTGGTTTTAAGGGGGTGGGGAAGTTGTTATTTATTTATGGAAATCCTTTTTGGATTCTGCACTGGAGGCTCTTTCAATAAAGCCATAAGAGCACAGACATTAAGGGCTGCCTCATGAACGCTTGCGCACGCAAATCTGAGGAGTGTCTGTAAAAGCTTGAGTTGGCACAGGAAAAATGCTTGTGGTTGACACACAGACGGCGGTAACACTATCCTGCTGACCATGAAGAGACTTCCAACGGGATTTCACGCCCATTAACGTGGATTTCCTTTTATTGTGCAATGTAAGCGTGACTTTCTGTCTGAGGTCACTGACTTTAAGGCCAGAGCCCGTTTTGTACAGCTCTTTATTAACTATGAACTCAAATGATTTGTTAATCCTATTCAACTACCTGGAATGGACTAGTCTGTCTCCAGTATTTTAAACCAGACTAGTACTATGGTTACAAAGAAGTGCCTTTCTCTTCAGTATTATTTCTTATAGCCAAAATTGATGTATCTAAGTTTATACTTGTTAATCATTATGTTGTAACATTTCTAATGCTCAATGTAAATACATACAGATATCCAAAAATGCATTGCAACTTTAACAAAAGAGCCTGAATAAGTGCTCTATTTGACTGACAATGTGCCTTGTTTTGATGGTGCCTTCTTCACCCCGCTTTCTAAATGTCTAATGCACATGTATCAGAACAGTGTACATAACGTTATGCCATGCAGTGAAACTTCTCAGAGAATAACGCTCTGATCCGTTCTTTACCCCACAAATGTATAAGGTATAAATGCATTTTACTCTGTTTTAAAAGAATATCCAATGGGAAGCACTCCAGTATTGTAAAGATAACAATCATTTGGGTGTGCAGTTTGTACTTGTTCACTCTAAACCAGTTGCCCATGTTAGTAAAATGAAGGACAGTCCTCATGGTTTGAAAGAATTAATTCATTTGGTTTAAACCAACAGTTACGTTTTATAAGATGGATTTTATTATATAATATGGCCCTAATCGAATAATTATTCTCTTTGCACTATCATTGAAAAAGAGCAGATTATCCAAATAGTGACTCGATATGAAATAGAGCTTTATTTTAGCAATAAATAACGCGAGGCCGCGCTTTACTGTGAATAACGTTAGTTAAAGCCGGTTATATTTACAATTCACTACGGCCTCAAGTGCTTATTGCTTTTACAAAACAAAGTGTTTTAGACAATGACAGAATGTATTATTACGTGATGAAAAATACATTAGGTGGAGTCTTTCCGTGAGAAGAGAGAAAATGACCCCGACAAAAGCCTGCTATGCAACAGGAAGAGAACTTGCAGGTGTTCTCAACGGGTGCTTCGCGTCATAGCTGTTGGAACGCTGTTCTGACCTATCAGGATGCCAGGACCGGAAGTGTCCGTTTTATTTAAAAAGGGACACATTACCATATGATTCGAGCTCAAGAGAAGTGAACACATGTAAACTAAACACTAACAATTTTTGTATGTTCTTGGGAGTTACTCCTTAGACTGAACTTTTTTTATATTGTCGGACAGAAACTAAATCAAGCCATTTGGGAGGAAACACAAAGCACAAGATGAATGTACCAAAGTTTTAAAGTTATTTGGTTGAAATGGACCAGTGAATGCAGCAGTTAACTGGATATTCTTTTGAAGTGGCAAATAAAAATATTTGAGACTCGACTTTGCCTTTATGACGATTTCATCAAGTGGGACAACTTTTGGATTTATTTCTTTTTCATTTTACACTGTATATTGTAGATTTGTAGCTATGGTAATTTTTTGTGATGAGTTAAAACATCTGGGGATCATATTTTAAATTGATGCCAGTGACAAATAATTAGAAAGAGTGCCATTTTACCTATATTCACCCTGATCACATCTAGTACTAGGACAACAGTAATTGTTTTAGATCCATAAGTAATGCATTCTGTATTAGCAGCCTAATATTTTTACATTTATTAAATCTGAGACATGAACCTTACAAAATCTATCGCCCAATATTTCTTGTCCTTCATTCCTGGAGAATCTGACCTTTGACTTATGGACTCTTGTTGGGAAAACTGTTTCTAAACTTACCACTTGTACCCATTACCAAGCTACAGCAGAGCACCAATCCAGAAACCACTTCTATTTTTGTTCTGTACATTTTATTTTTAATATGTTATTGTCTATGGTTCATGAAGTTCTCCAGCTGGAAACAAAAGAAACAAACATCACGCTGTCTCTCCAAAAGAAGGGCTGAGCCACCATGCATTTCTACTATAAAAGGCAGTTTAATTATTTTGTATATATATATAAAAAAAAAAGAACCAACAAAACTACAGAAAGTTGCAGGGTTGTGACAGTAAAAGACCACAGAGGGCCGTGCTAAATTACATTTGATCGTAAACAGAGCAGACACTTTACGTTAAGTCCAGATGCTCGAATGAATACTGTTAACATGTATCTGTGGAGCTGACGCTAGTCTTTTTGCGCTGTTGGATCCATGCATTAGCCTATGGTGCATGGGTTACCTCCATTAGAAGCAGTGGACGCTCGGCCGCAAGCAGGGATGGATATTATCTACAGGTCAGGCAGATGAGAATGATGGGAAAAGTAGCAGCAAGGCAGTGAGTTATTACTGGATCCACACGAACCTCATAGGAATGCACTTACACTGAGCATAAAGTCCATAAGACACAGAACTAGTGAACAAAAAGTGACATACAGCTCCCACTGAAGTGGTATGGAACAGTTCTGTTGAAGCCACACCGACCGAGCAGACGTTTCTCTAGGCTGGTTCCGGCGTACTGGAAGACATGGCGTCAGATGAGGCCCGCATCCTTTGGACGTACCGCTTACATACACACCAAGGCCACTGATACCCTGGAAAGAGTTCTGGAATGTCCTTACATTTACCATCTGATTGGATTCACTCACTCATTCGCTCATTCAATGTACATAGTGCCACACTTTGTATCTTTTCATTCATTAAAAAACCCAAAGCTAAAACAAAGACAGTTATATACTGCTATTCATACGGGTGTCTGCTTGTATTCCTGGGTATATTTGTCAAGACACTTTGTTAATTATATATGTAAATATATATAAAATCAATCTGTGCAAGGAGTATGACAATCATCGAAAGCGTTGTCCTCTGAGATAACAGTATAGAAATAAAAGTGATGCTGACTCGTCCACGTCTCGCAACACTCATGCACGTATATTGGATCTCAGCCATCTGAAATCACACACGGGCAAAGTCAGCATCAGTATCATTCAGTTGGCCGTGCCCCGCTCCCTTATATTTCATTAGCAACACTAAAAGAAACATTGATCTCTATACAATTCATACAAAAATAAACTTAAAACCAAAACAAAAAACAAAGATTCCCTATACTGTTGGCATCTTGAGGAGCAGAGAGGTAGTGGCTAAATGGAGGGGAATGGTGAGAAATTAGGTACGCAAACTTCCGAGAAAAATGAAAAAAAGGGAAAGGAAAGATCTATACAATTCATACAAAAATAAACTTAAAACCAAAACAAAAAACAAAGATTCCCTATACTGTTGGCATCTTGAGGAGCAGAGAGGTAGTGGCTAAATGGAGGGGAATGGTGAGAAATTAGGTACGCAAACTTCCGAGAAAAATGAAAAAAAGGGAAAGGAAAGAAAAAAATATATGTATAGAAAATGCTTTCTTTTGTTGACCAGAAGGATTTCTCAAAGAATAAAATATAATACTGCGATCACATACAAAAAGTGTCCTTCATTTTTCGCATTTTTTTTGTTTGTTTTTTACATTTTGTACAGTGTTCCTGCTCTTGTTGCTTTTCCTCTGATGTGTAAAGGCATAACGGTCTGCGTGAGGGTGGGTGTCCGGCCGTGACTCTATGCCAGCGGGTCTCCCATATCGTCGTCTCCTGCAGACAGCAGCTCTTTCTTCTCGTCTGTGCTGGCCAGAGAGTTACGGCTGTTATGGGCGCCCATGTAGAGAGTGGCATACACGGGGTTGGTGAAGTTTGTAGGCTGCAAGAGACACAGATGCAGATAAGATGATAAATATTTTTATGTCCCATTTATGGATTTACGAATTAATGGCCTATATTCAAATTCTATACTATTTTAATTACATATACTCAAAATAATCAACTAAAACTAAGTGAATTTATGCAATACCAACATTCTAATATACAGTATGAAAAATTAATATTTAAGACAAACTTTTAGACTGCAAAAGTGATCAAATATTAATATCTCCCTCTCAAAATCTATTTGAGATATATATATATATATATATATATATA